TATAGATTTAAGTAATGTATAAAATATTTTTATACATACATCATATATACACACATAAAATGGTATTATACCAACCACTACAGCCACAAATACTAATCTAACTCCCTTATAAAAACTCTGACATCTTATAGACCTGTCCCTGAAGGTGCGGGAGCAAGGAGATAGAAATGTCATCTTGAGTCAGAGTCAGGTGAAGATGCTGCTGAACTGGGATGTGGTGCGCGAGTCTGGTGACTCAGGTACTGGCTGAGATGGGAGGAAGGTCACAAGATGCCCAAGGATGTGACAAATGGGGAACTGAAGATTAAAGGGAAAGGGGGGGGGGTTAGTGGAGCCACAAAGAGTCTCTCTGAGGAGGAAGGGGCCCTGTGGGAACCCCAAGGTATCAACATTGACCTCTTCCTGCAGGTCCTTCTGTGGTGGGCCTTGTCTCCACACCGGGGATGGGCAAGTTGCTGGCTGAGGCCCGCCTGGTCCTGGGGCCTGAGATGCAGGCAGTTCTGCATGGGGCACACAAGGGCGTGCTGCGAGGAGTCTCCTCTGTCCTGCTCTCACACGTCATCTCTGCCTTTATGAGCAACAGGGACACCCAGAACCTCAGCTCCCCTATCACCTTCATCTTTTCCCACCATGTGAGTGCTGGTGAGATGGGACTGTGGGTGTGGAAGGAGCCTGGGTCTTGGGCACAGCCTCGCTGCTCAGCTCAGTCTTGATTGAGGTTCTTGGGGGCTCCCCCATGGCTGCATCATTCCCCAAAGAAAGCCTTTTGCAAGCCAGCTTTGGATAAGCATTTCTGAGCACTGGAACAACCAGCTTCCACCTACACTCTGTTTCTACAGTCAGTGACCCGTGGGCCAATGCAAAAGGTGTTCTGCGTCTTCTGGGATCACACTCCGGATGGATATGGTCATTGGTCCACTACGGGCTGCAGGATGGTGGCCACTGGAGACACCAGCACCACCTGCCAGTGCACCCACCTCAGCAGCTTTGCAGTCCTCATGGCCCACTACAATGTGCAGGTGAGAGCCCTGTGAAAGGCTGGATTCCATGCTTATTGTTCTGTAATATATTTCCCCACATGTAGGGCCTTTAAAAAAAAAACAGAAATTTATATCTTGTGGTTTCTTTGGGTCAGCTCGGGTATGGTGGTGCTGAGTTGCTGTTCTGGGTCTTACAAGCCTGAAATCAGCCAGGTCTGCATTCTCTTCTGCAGCTCAGTTTCCTCCTGTGAGCTCCCTGGTTGCTGGCAGGATTCATTTCCTTGCAGTCATAGGACTGGAGTTCCACTTTCTAGCTAGCTGTGAGCAGGGAACCTTGCTCAGCGAACTAGGGGCTGCCTGCATTCCTTCTCTAGCAGCCCTCACACCGTGTGTCAGCATTTCTATCCAGAGGCCAGCCGGAGGAGCTCCCTCACTGCAAACGCTCTCACACTTTGAATCATTTTCTCCAAGAGCCCAGAGCTTTTAAAGCTAACTTGATTAGGCCAGGCCCACCTACAACAGACTCCCTCTCTTAAAGACTAGGATCTGAATTCCATCTGCAAAATCCCTTCAGAGCAGCACCTAAAATGGCATTTAACTGAGAATCCAGAAGAAAGTGTGTGTACACCTATTATTGACAAATTAGATTTCTGCTTAACACAGGGGTCTTTAGGACAGGAAGGCTGTAGAAAGTGGCTCTCAGGGACTGTAGAAAGGAAGATTTGGTGGTGGCAGAGGTCAAAGGGGCCAAGAAAGCCAGTGAGTACAGGTGGGTTAAGAACTATGTTTGCCTGTTCCACTGGCTAGGTGAGCTGGTTACTTCCTCTGGATCACCACATCAAAGACTTACTTAGGTGATTTGTAAAGTAAAATAAACCCTTGTGAGTTCCTGGGCTCTGTCTTAAGTAAGGACTCTCTTACCCCTCAATTCTTCCAAGGTCTGGGTTAATCAGTTCAGATTTCCATTCTAGCATTCTGAACCTGGAGGAATTTGCCAAATAACATAACAAATTTACCTGCATCCTTCTTTCCTGATTTGGCTACAGCAAAAATAAAAATAAAATAAAAATTTTTTAAATAGAAGATTTTTAAATTACCCCAGAGTAGGAAAATGTGACTGTGATGTCCTTTTTGCTTCTTTCTGCTGGATCCCAGGAGGAGGATCCCATGCTGGCTGTGATCACCTACTTGGGGCTAAGCCTCTCTCTCCTGTGCCTCCTCCTGGCAGCCCTCACCTTCCTGCTGTGCAAAACCATCCAGAACACCAGCACCTCGATCCACCTGCAGCTCTCAATCTGCCTCTTCCTGGCCCACCTGCTCTTCCTCACAGCCATCAACCGGACCGAGATCAAGGTACTGACACCGCCACAGAGGAGCCCCTGCCCTGTCCCAGGGGTGCTCAGTTCATGGAGCCATGCTGCACTGATACCTTAATGAAATGGCCTCGGGTCCAGGGAGGTTGGAGGGGTAGGTAGCCTATTTCACATTGACTAATGAATGGAAGACATTAGGAGACAAACCCTCTCCTGACAACTCGACCATATACATGAGAGTTCTCTTCAATGGCAAAGTATGGGAAAGGTCCTGGGGTCACCCTCCTCCCTGATAGTCCCTCCTGGTGACATCTTTCTCCTCCCCCAGGTGCTGTGCGCCATCATTGCGGGTGCCCTACACTATCTCTACCTGGCGTCCTTCACCTGGATGCTGCTGGAGGGTCTGAATCTCTTCCTCACTGCACGCAACCTGATGGTGGTCATCTACTCCAGCATGAGCAGGGTCATGAAGAAGCTCATGTTCCCCGTGGGCTATGGAGTCCCAGCTATAATTGTGGCCATTTCTGTTGCATCCAGGCCTCACCTTTATGGAACACCCACCCGGTAAATGCAATTTCCCACTGTCCTTATTTTCTCCAGCATGACTATGGCCATCATAGAACCAATAGTTATTTAATTCCACCAGATCAGATAGGCAGAGAAAAGGTCAGTGACCACTCCAAGGACATCTACCCGGTGGAAGATTGTACTCATTGAAGTAATTGTTTTTAAGTCATTAAGCTATAATTGGGTTTTTTTTAACCATACAATACATCATTAGTTCTTGATGTAGTGATCCACGATCCATTGTTTTCGTATAACACCCAGTGCTCCATGCCGTACGTGCCCTCCTTAACACCCATCACCGGGC